GGGGTGGGATGGGGGAACACACGATACAGGGGACCCCCAGGACAGGGCTGGGGGGGCACAGGGGACCCCAGGACAGGGACAGGGGTGGGGGGACATGAGGGTCCCTCAGAATGGGGTTGGGGGCACATGAGGGACCCCCCAGGGGACACAGGGGACCCCAGGACAGGGACAGGGGTGGGAGGACATGAGGGGCCCTCAGAATGGGGTTGGGGGAACATGAGGGACCCCCCAGAGGACACATGATACAGGGGACCCCCAGGACAGGGCTGAGGGGACACAGGGGACCCCAGGACAGGGACAGGGGTGGGAGGACATGAGGGTCCCTCAGAATGGGGTTGGGGGCACATGAGGGACCCCCCAGGGGACACAGGGGACCCCAGGACAGGGACAGGGGGTGGGAGGACATGAGGGGCCCTCAGAATGGGGTTGAGGGCACACGGGGGACCCCCCAGGGGACACAGGGGACCCCAGGACAGGGACGGGGGGTGGGAGGACATGGTGGTCCCTCAGGACGGGGTCGAGGGCACACGAGGGACCCCCCAGGCCGGGGTCCAGGGCGTGTCCTCACCGGGAAGGACTTGATGCTCCAGATGACGAGGTTCCTCTCGGGCAGGTACCGCGCCGACCCCACCGTGGTCTTGAACTTGGGGGAGTCGGCGTCGCTGGGCACCGGCACCGCGATCTCCACCCCGTTGGCCACCGACTGCTTCTTGAACTGGCCCTTGGCCTGGGGAGGGGGGACACACACATGTGGGGGGGCTCAGGGGGCAACAGGGGGTCCCTGCAGGGTAGGGAGGGGTCTCCTGCTCTCACCTTGACCATGATCTCCACCCGGCTGTGGGAGAACTTCTCGATGATGGACTCGATCCAGATGAGCGGCTTCACCTGGGGGGGCACATGGGGGTGACCCCTGTGCCCCCCCCACTGTCCCCTGGGTGTCCCCACCACCCCAAGAGGGTCCTGCCTGAGTGGACGGTGGTGAGGGACTCACAGAGGGGGTCCCAGACCCATGGAAAGGGGGCCCAGCCCCCTCCAGATGGGGGTCCTGGCACTGAGATGGGAGTCCCAGCCCCACAAAATGGGGTCCCAGCCCCACAAACCAGGGTCCCAGCCCCACAAACCGGGGTCTCAGCCCCAAGATGGGGGTCCCAGCCCCACAAACCGAGGTCCCAGCCCCAAGATGGGGGTCCCAGCCCCACAAACCAGAGTCCCAGCCCCAAGATGGGGGTCCCAGCCCCACAAACCGAGGTCCCAGCCCCAAGATGGGGGTCCCAGCCCCGAGATGGGGGTCCCAGCCCCAAGATGGGGGTCCCAGCCCTCCAGATGGGGGTCCCAGCCCCACAATCCGGGGTCCCAGCCCTCCAGATGGGGGTCCCAGCCCCACAATCCGGGGTCCCAGCCCCAAGATGGGGGTCCCAGCCCCCCAGATGGGGGTCCCAGCCCTGCAGCCCGTGGCCCCACCTGGGTGTGCAGGCGGTAGGACATGAGCTCGAAGTCCCCGTCGGGCGGGATGAAGGAGATGGTTCGGTCGTTGTCGAAGCGGGACAGACGGACGCACTGGTGGAACTTCACGTCCTCCAGCTCCACCGACTTGTTCTTCCCCCCTGGAAGGCAGGAGGGGGTTTGGGAGGGTTTGGGGGGACAGGGACAGGCCCCCCCTCCCCCTGGCCTGGAGCACTCACGGCCCGTCAGCTCGAAGAGGACTCGGTCGTTGAGGCCCAGGCGCAGCTCCGGCATCCCCGAGAGGAAAACCTTCAGCTTGATGGTGCCCACGATCTCGCTCAGCACCACGCTGCCGTTGGCGCTCACCTGCGGGCACGGCACGGCACTGGCACCACCTTCATCAGTGGCGCCATCCTCATCATCGGCGCCATCCTCATCATCGGCACCATCCTCATCATCAGCTCCATCCTCATCATCAGCTCCATCCTCATCATTGGCACCACACTCATCATCAGCTCCATCCTCATCATTGGCATCATCCTCATCATCGGCACCATCCTCATCATCAACTCCATCCTCATCATCAGCACCATCCTCATCATCAACTCCATCCTCATCATCAGCACCATCCCCATCATCAGCACCATCCCCATCATCAGCATCATCCTCATCATCAGCACCATCCTCATCGTCAGCTCCATCCTCATCATCGGCACCAC